TGCATTCGAAACGCGTCGGCTAACTACAACTTTTACCCGTTGTTCTAACAACGTTAAGACGGCTTATCGACTTCTTGAGAAGAATATATATATGTATATACAAGCTGAGGTACCCGTCCTTTGTCCAGGTTATGTGGGGGTGAATGATATGATAACTAACACAAAAATCCTAACTTTCACACAATTTATTTATAACATAACATATTATTACCTCAGCAAACGTTTTGTATAAGCTTTAAGAACGCAACATATATATACATATGCTTGGTATAATACGCTCTGCGATGGTCAGGGTGACTTTGTAGGAAGAGGTAGCGGCCAAAATAGTGGCGGTTTGGGTGCTTTCTGTTACCCGCTTTCAACAACCAGCTCTTAATGTCATATCTCAGTATTTCACGCGATTAATTGGTTGATGGTCATTTGCCGCAGAAGTGTCTTACGGGCCAAAGTTAAAAGGTCACGGGTCAAAGTAGGAAGTGGGTATAACTCACAGAATGGCTCTTCATATCAGCTGAGTTTATGTATTATTGCAATAGTGACAGTCTATTTTTTCATTGCATTCCTGAGAACGATCGATAAAACTCTCACGTCGCGATTGGTCTAGAGAAATCTATAGTCAGTGGTTGTCAGCATTTTAAGCATAAATAACAAAATGTGACCCGATTTCAATGAAAATGATTCACTTAAGTACATATGACGTTTTGCGAAACTCTCTACGTGATGGAGAAAAATAGATATCATTTTTCGGATTCAGCGTACAGTAATTACTGTAGAACATATAAAAATTTCAAGACAATAGAACCATCGCTGGCCTGTGTAATCACAAGCTATTTTGAAATACATTACAGATTTCCATTGAGAAGCAGCAACCCTTCTTTGAGCTTGATATTCTCTATCTCGTTCTCCTCTAGAAGCAATTTCTGAAACTGATTCTTTCGCTCCTCTTCTTGTCATTTTGCCACAATTTTCTTCTTGTGTGGCAGCAGTTTCATCAGCCGTTTCTTGTACATCTTCTTCTAGCTATCTTTTCCCTATCTCGAGCTTGTCTTGCAGCATTTTTAGGACAGAAGAAAGGAAATCGGAAGAAACGGCAAAAGAAACTACTGCAAGACAAGCTGAAGATAGGGAAAATATTGCTAGAAGAAGAGCACAAGAGACAGCTGATGTTGGCTATTTTTGATTTCTGTGAATACAATGACTTCAAAAGTAGTTTGAGAATCTTGACACACTTAGGTAGGGGTGTAGTTTGTGTGTGTGTGCACTTCACTAAGTTGACTGTTTTGGAAACTACATAGTAACACTAGTTATATACATAAACATATACCATTTACTTGCAATTAATGTCGAGGCAGGAAGCAACGTCCAACCTCTTTGAGGTAATTGTGAAATACTGTCGAACTAAGGGTAAATGTGTTTACTTTAACTTAGCGTGATTAATTAATTGACGGTCATTGGACGCGTTATAGAAAATGTAATAAAGTTGTCTCTTTGTTGTTATTTTTTTGGTTTAAGGTCGTGGCGCCATCTATGAATATAGTTAACGTTAACTTACGTTAAAGATAATAAATGCTGAATAACAGAAATAATGGGGGGGGATGGAGAGTTTTGTACCCTCCCCATTAACGTGCCCCTTGTTCCAAACTATTATCCCACAAAGTTTAGTTGAGGTTGCCCAGACCAGAGTAGAAACTTCAGCTGAGTTTATGTGGTATTGCAATTCTGGTGGCCATTTTTTTCCTTGCATTCCTCCTGTGGAGCTACGATATGTTGTGAAACATTGGACTGAACTGATTTTAATTACTTTTAGTAGAGAAACTCAAGCGAGTCTTTCAAAGATTGAGTTTAAGTTGATAAAAAATCGAACAAACGGTTCGAGTTTAGCAACCATTTCAATTTTTCCTGCCTTAGTACTGCGAATAATGGCTCAACTAATCGAGGAGATCGGAAGAAAAATAAGAAAAACCACCGCCAAACGAAAGCGGCATTCAATGTTGTAAGTAGCATGGGTGGATACTTTTGCTTCGGATGAACTGTCTCTGTGCTACGGCTCAGAATAGTGAAAATAGACAACCCATACTCCCATCTATAGCATTAATTTATAAAACCAGCATTGTCGGACATATATTCTAATTCTAAATATTTGCCAGGAATTTTAGAATCAGATAAATGCACCGAATTTACCCTATGCTAATAACATTAAATACTTTTTTCAAGTATGTGCTTTTATTTTAGTGCTCTGTCTTCGTGTACTGAATAAAAATACCTTTTTCAAACATCGTCGTAAAAATGTTTATATAATTTCAAATATTTTGGTTGATCCTGGTAGATATTTAGGGTGTTTTGATAGCTAATCTTGAGATGATTTTACCCGCAAAAGAGAGAAACAAACTTGATATTAGCAAACAAAGTAAGAAAGTAAATGCAATGTTAAGGATGACTGCTCCCATGTTAAATGTGTCCAACTGTAACAAACATACTTTGATATGGCAGCAGAAAGTGAATTTTTGTATTTAAATTAAGATGAACCGCTAATACATGCAGGTTATATAAGAAACAATGTAACAGTAGGAATGTTTGAATACAATGAGGGTTTAGCTGTTCTTGCTTCTTTGAGCCAAGTTTCTTCCAACGACTGCACACAGCAAGTGTATGTTACATATCCTGAATCTTTTACGCATTGTCCATCTATAATAATAAAAGGGCGTGTCTGTGTGTGTGTGACAGCTATAACTCAAAGAGGAAAGAACCTAGAAACATGAAATTTTGCACACATACTAAGTGGACCCTGAGGATGTGCACCTAGGTATTATTACTTATCCATGCGCGTGCGTATCTTTTTAATGAGGCAAGCTAGCGAAAAAAACACATAAAAAAGAAATGTGACCGCCATAGCTCCAAGGGAAAAGAACCTAGACACCTAAAATTTTGCACCCATAATAAGTGGATCCTGATGGTGTGCACCTGTGTATTACTTATCTTATCTATATGCGTTCGCACATGCGCGTGCATATTTTTTTAATGAGGCAAGCTAGCGCAAAACCACACAGAAAAGAAGTGATTCCTTATATTACAAATAGAAATCACAAACAGTCAGACAGATACATGTGCATCTTTTGATGAGGCAAGCTAGTGAAAAACCACATAGAAAAGAAGTGTGAATATTGTTACCAAGGTTTTGATATATGAATGAAATTCTCTGAGGTACTATCAAGTCAAGAATAATCAACAACATAAGTAGGAACGTTTCGGTGCACTAACAACATCTTCTTGATGTTACAAAAACACGTAGGTTCAAGAAGTCTTGATAGATGAATAAAAACCCTATAACCCAAGCTCTTTCGAAAGGTGGACCTTTCTTTTTAGTTGCCAAGTCAGTGAATATTATTTTTCTCAACAATAGCAGAATCGATTTTTTGTGTAACAGTGACAGTTTTTTTTTCAAAAACAGTGATTATACTGTTCCATTTAACAATATCAGTACTACGTTTTTAATGCATCAGTGACACTTTCTTAGCTATCTAATAATGAATATAGTTTTTCTTAATAACATTCAGTATACATTTTTGATTTATCAATGGAGTTTTAGTTACCAAATCAGTGAACACTATTTTTTTCAACATCGCGATGGGATGAATAAGATGGTCATTCAGAATCTATACTGTCACAATAATTGTATCAAACATTAGTTAATGATGTATTTCCTTATATTATGAATAGAACTCACAGACAGACACGCATGTGCGGGCGTGTATGAGCGTGCACATCTTTTTAATAAGATAAGCTAGCGAAAATCACACAGAAAGAAGTTGTTCCTTATATAACAACTTCTACTATATAGAAAAAGCCATTGCGCTGCTTACGTTGCTTAGCAATAAAACTATAACTAATATTGTTGTTAGTCTATGTGTTGAAAGGATAAAATGAAATCTATAAACTACAAAATTGACAAAAAATATGTTGTTTTCTAATTTACAATCTCTATTGATTAAAGAGGTTTGTTTTTTATTATTTATTTTTATTATTTAAGTTTAAAATTAGATCGACATTTTTATTTTCGTGTTACATTTTATGCACTTGGCTCTAGGCTAGGTTATTTCACATTATGTTACACACTACTTTAGGCTTATTTATTAATTTATTTAAATCATACCAACATTCATTACACCAAAATTTCTCGGCCCCCTTGCACCCGCGTCACTAAAATCGTAATGGGCAGACAGTAATCGGACTATTCTATCAAACATAAAGTCATCTAGAATATATCAACCTAATAACCCGAGCGAAACCGGGTCATTTCGCTAATATATATATATATATATATATATACTTTTGATCTTGCACTCTCTATATTATTAATCTAAACATTTTTATGATAATATTTGATATTCACAGTCGTATTCTATGAAGCATTTGTAACTTGAACACACTTGAACTAGAAGTTTTATTAATGCTGAATTGTGGTGTATATTTAGTGTTTTATATTTATAAGTATGGTAAATTAGATATATTTTATTATTTGAACAGCATGATATTATAACTGACACACAGTGCCATCTTCAGGAACATCTTAATACTAGCGCAAGTTCTCAATATGTGGCTGCTTGTGATAAAAGCATCACATCAACCAACTCAATTGTGACGTTACAGTTGCATTCCCGGTCTGAAAACTCCCTTAAACCCGAGTTTACACAATGCTTCACAACCAAAGAAAATGTTTGGTCGCCACCTCCTCCAGAAAGGTAAATACTAAAGGCTTAATCATAAAAATTAAATTTTCTCGTTTTTCACAAACATATGAAAGGAGTCACACATTTTGAATTTTGTCTTTGTGAATGTGGTTCCATCTGTCGATAGTTTTTAATAATACCTTTTAACACCAATGAATAAAAGCATTTGTTAAATTAGAACTTCTTTGATTACAAAACTAAACTACCATTTGTAAATTAATACATGATTTGTACGCTAAAGAAACTATGTCTGATTAATAAAAACGAACAAAATTAACTTTGGTATTAATAATGGCTGGAGACGGCTTGAATGGGTAATGAAGAAAAACTTTAATATAAGTTTAACAT